AATCATTAGATGTACTTTCATTTTTTATATATATTACACATATATGTTAATTTACTTATTGCATTTTAACGTGATAAGAATATATACCTTAATATCTTCTCGTCAATCGTGTTTTCAGACGACGTTCGCATTAGTGTAATAAATTTTTTAGGGTCAATAGGATATTTGTAGAAACATTCTTCTATGTGTGTTACCGCGGTGAAGTAGTTAGCAGTTATAGTCGAGACGTGAATGAATGACTACGAAGGAAAACTTGATAAATAAAAAGTAAAACTTTAGAGACGAATAATTACCTTTAAGTTTGGCATACGTTTGGCCAAGTTTAAAATAGCGCAGGTGCCGTACACGTTTATTTTTGTAGCGACTTTTATGTCCTCATTGAAGCGTACAGTCGCTGCTAAGTGGAAAATTATCGATACCTGCGATAAAATATATTTTTATCAATTGAAATTTTGCTTACTTGTTTACATTACTATGAATTCTTTTTCAACTATACGATAAAAGCAACTTTGTGAGAAGTGGTCAGTGGAATCTAAATGGCTCACCTCACTTATCACTTGGTCTATATCATGCTTCGTAAGTCCTAGGCACTCTTCGTCCAATTCACCAACTTGCAAGAGGGGCACGACCTTCTCATGAAAATTCGGCATCTCCTCCTTTATTCGCTCGAACAGCTATGGATGATTGTTATAACGTCTATAAGAACTTACCGCGACAATTTCACAAGATCTAGACGTCATTACTTATTACTTATGCCATTCTTGGGAATTGCTCAAACTTTCGAGGCGATTTTTAACAGCAGCGTCTACTCATCTTTCCTTGCCGTTCTAGCTTACACGCTAACTCATGAAACTGACGTTCGTGAAGCTCATAGCCTCATGAGTGTAAATAATTAAATCTTATAAAAAACGCGTTAATAATAGCATTTTATGATTAAGATAAAATCTATTACTATATCATAATTACAATTTCTCAGATATGATACGTCATACACATCAGTTATATAATAGCTAAATTTTACGCATAAACAACTATTTTTAGTTAGATTCTTTTAGCCTCTAAAAAGCTCTTTAAAGAGGGACTCTATAAATAGATTCTAATGCCTCAAACTGTATACTGTAAATGTGAATTGTGTGATTCGTCAGGCAAGCAAGAGTGACAAAAAGAGATGATCAGACATATGCTTCAAAAATCTCTTCGAAAAATTAAGTAATTCCTAACACTCATTATGCTTACGGAACTCTCGAAGATTTCGGCCAGTCTACTCGTGGCGCTCTTGTTTTTCTTTGATCTTATCATCATGTATATCTTGGAGATATTGGGACAACTTCGCAGCAATTTCTCAATCAAGACCTTTCCGAGGAATCCAGTTCCGCCTAATTAATCATATTCCACCATTATTGTTTGACCGATTACGTCAACTGATAGAACTGATTTTCGCTTTTTGATGTTATATTCGTCGTGAATTTGTTTTCAACTTTTCGTAAACATTGCAATGTATTTCGTCAAGGAAAGGAACGAACTGAAACCGCGAATTTCGTCAATGTCATCCAAGTGTTGACACCGTTAAGCTTCAAGTTTTTCCCCTTTTTGAAGAAGAGTACTGAAATGTTCGCGGAATGTCGGGAACAAATTCTCGAAAAATGCGACAGTAATCCGGGATCTAAATCGAGTACTAGTCCAAAACCTCGGTATCGGTATGAGTGTCAATTTTTATTTAATGTTTCTTTGTTGATCACATCGCACATATACAATAATAATTTATACAATAAATACCTGTAATGAAGATCGACTGGTTCGCATAGAATGTTTGTATCGGCGTTCCTTGAATTTTGGTATTGTTTCCGCAATACACAATTTTGTGTTGATTAAAATCGTTAGTATGTAACAAATGATCGCTCATCCTGTCAGTATCTGTGTTCAATACCTGCATGAAGTAATACTGTCCTTATTTTTAATTTTAGCTACGATCTGCGAGTAGATATATGTAACGTTACACTAATTTCACTAAGACAGTACGACACTTATATACTATAAAAGTTAAACCAAAAAAATAAGCAAAAAACAAAATCGTATATTATGTCAACATTTTTAGTAGAAAATTTTAGAAAGATTTTTGGTGAATTGTTCTGCTGCTGTTTTTAACGTAGACTGACAAGTCACGTCTCTAAAACCGAGATTTCCCATTTCCCTTCTAAGTCCATTATTGGTAATGGGTAGTGGAGACTCGGAAAATTTTTCTTTTCCCCTACTCTCCAGTTTCCCCCAACTTTCCGGATTGTGAATATCTAACATGCCCAACAAACGAGCACCGTAGTTATATACCAGTAATATAACATAGATATGTAATGTCAGCACAACCATGTGGTTTGTTATGTAACTGTTATGTGTTACATAACATACATAACGTGTAACAGTTACATGAAATAATATATGGTTGAGTTGACATTCAAACATCAATGTTATGTTACTGATACTTATGGTTTGCTTGTGGGTGCTAGTTATGCTGTTATACATAACACGGATGTACATAACTCAATGCTCCAGATGAGAGTTAACAGTTTATAAGCTATTTATAGAAGTAATGGGAAGATGTACTTGTGATCAGTTCTTACAAAGAATTATATCTTATAGTTGGGTCTTATTGTCTATATGCGTATATGCTTTGCGAATAACGATATAGAAATGAAATGCGAAGTATGAGATAATTTGAGAATCCAGTAAATACCAAGTAATGATTATATAACATAAAGTATAAAAGTTTCTATTAATCTTCCACTCTCCTCACACTAAAATGTAGATAAACACGAGATATATCTCCAGTCATGTTTCATTTCAAATATTTATGACAGTGTGGTCACAACTTTCAGTCTCCTTCCTTCACTTGAGCTGTCTCGTTGACAGTGTGCTGTTCAACTGTGATCAAAGATGTTTTTCTTATATTATATTATACATAATGTTAATTATATTATATTATATTATATTAGGGTATTATATTATATTATATTGCAGAATTTAATTTATATCTCTAACTGTAGTATTAATAAAATTTTCTCTTGGCCAACGTGTACATTTCAACACTTAATAAATTTATTTTATTAAAATATATTTAAAAATGTCTTAGAGCAATGAAATGAAAGCAATAAGTGATTTAATTAGTATCAGTGGTGTGTGTGAGCGCTTCATAAGCTTACTGATTAATATCGCATGCTACTTATAATCTATATATGTGGCATACAGTGATAGAAACTTTGACTTTGACAGCACGTGAGCTTCACGAACACGGTCGCGTCAGTTTGAGCGTATCTTCTTGCGTATTGATGTGTACTTCTCGGGAGTCTAAGTTTCTATCAAGGGTGCCATAATTCTTAATTCTTTTAATTTTATATTATTATATAGTATTGCTGTGCGGCGAAGAATAAATAAATATCTCTTATTATAATTTATTTTTTTCTTTTAATCGATGAAACACGTATTTATGTAGGAAATACAATCAGATAAAAAACTATCTTATGTATATATACGTATGTGTCATACATTAAATCTTAATCTTAATCTGATTAATTAATTACCTGACGAACGAAATTATATATCTTCATTCTAGATTTCCAGTTTCAACCGAACCTGGACAATATTGAGCTTTCGGTATATATAAACAAAGTGTAAGTATTTCGTTAAGTATAAGTATTTGGCTAACTTAAATATTGGATTCTGCTTTTTAAAAAAGAAGCTTAAAATATATCATTATCCCCCTTGAAATGTCATGTGGTTATGATAAAATTTAATATTTTTATAAAACATTAAATTAAATTTAATATTTTTATAAAATATTAAATTTTACCATAACCACATGACCCATTTCAAAAGGGATAATGGTATATTTTATGTTACTTTTTTAAAATGCAGAATATATAAGTTAGCCAAATAAAATGTATCTATCTTATACAAAACTTTTGTCTATCATCTTTCTCTTTTATGTACTGGTATATGTTTTTCTTATTCTTTTTTTATATATACTGAAATACAGAAAACTCAATGTTGCCCAGGTTCGGTTGAAACTGAAAATCTAGAATGAAGATATATAATTTCGTTCGTCAGGTAGTTAATTAATCAGATTAAGATTAAGATTTAATGTATGACACATACGTACATATACATAAGATCATTTTTTATCTGATTGTGTTTTCTACATAAATTATTATTTATTTCTTTATTTAAACACTGTTTTTTTTTAATTATCCTTCACCAAAATTATATAATGCGTGCTTATTGCGCCCATTTGATATTATAATTGCGCATGGAATTAGTCAAGATTACGAAAATATTTCTTAAAATAATTTCCAGACCAACATAAAGACGATGAATGTAAGCAAGAACTTTGTCACTTGATGTATCCAGTACAATCTGAAATTCATAATATTATTTTAAGCTCAAATGTAAAAATATGTAAATGCGCTTTGTACATCATATATTTGTATTTCATAATAACTGTCAATGATTCAACACATTTCAATTTTAATTAACACTAAATCTCACTAACGAGGTCCATTAAACTCTAAAACCACATTTACGGTCCAGCTAATTTTCTTACGTTACTTTCTGAAAACTGTATATTTTCTGACTTCATTTAGTAAACTAAATAGCGCAAAAAATGTTTTCCCGGGGTTCTATGATGAAAACTGAAAGTGATGCACAAAGAATGTAACTCTTAGGCCTCAAAGAGACAAAAACTTCTCTAAAATTATTTTTTCACATTAGAAAGTCAACTATTGTTTAGGTATTACTTTTGTTAACTTTTTAGCTGCGAATGTTATACATATACGTGCGTATATAATTATTAATATACGGGTATATTAATATAACAATTATAAATATAATAATATATAATATTATTATTATTTAATATATAATAATATATAATGTAATTATATATAAATATAATGATTATTAATATACGTATATAATTATTAATATACGAATGGCAAATATATAAAGTGTTCTGTGTAATGGTCCGTGAGATTTTTGAGGCGCTATCGATAATTTAAAAAAAAAGACTGTAAAGTCAACATTTATTTGTATCATGTAGACTTCCACATACAAAAAAAATAGTTAAAAATTTTATTATAAAAAAGTCAATGACACCTTGAATTCTTCAAATATCAGTTTCTTTCCTTGATATTATAGGGAATTTTAAGTTGAATTGAATACACTCTCACTATTATCGATATTTAATGTTATTTTATTTATTTATGTTATTATTAAATAAAAAATATATTACCTCTTCAATTTGATACGACTATTTTCCAAAGTACTTAAATCATCCTTAAGCAAGTAAAGCCGCACACCTTTGAAATGATCATCCAAATATTTCGACCAATCAAAACCTTTCATGTTAAAGTCGAATAAACACTGATCATTTTTGTCCATGCTTCGCCACATCGCCTGAATGTTATCATCGCTGTGTATCCAATTATGCAAAGTAAAGTAACTAACTGCATCCTGATACTTGTGAATCATATTGTACAATTTCCATATTCTGAAAGAGATGAAATAATGTCGACGAGAATGTTACTCCCATACATACGGTGTTATCTTCAAATACCTTTGCCGAGCACCTATGCATTGTTGAAAGATTTGTATGAATAAAGCGGGCAGCAGGTGGCCAAACCAAATACACATTTTGTATATAATCTTATTTTTTACCAATGTAATAGTTGGCATCCAATAGCAGTGCTTCGTCGGATATTTTCGAACGTTTAATCGTATGTGATTGGTATAATCACCCATAAATAAAGGCGCGTCGTTTGTCGATACGCTATTATAAATTATCATTTTGTCACCTCTCCTGCAATTAGGAAATGGAAGAAATTTAGTATAAAACGTAAGAACTATTTACGTGCGCGCGCTTGCTATAGGAGTGAAAATCCAGACGATGTCTCGATGATTTTGAAAATGAAATAAATTTTATTACGATTCGGGAATTTGGAAAGATAAAGAAAATTTTATCTCTTCGCTGTTAAACAGAGTAACTATGCAAACACATTTCTTTGAAGCCAGATTCTCATTAGTATGAACTTTTACACTGCATTTGACGTATCTGTAAAAATGACGTGCTTATCATGGTGAATCATACTTTTGCGGTTGATTGAAAACATCCCACGCGGCGGCAATTAAAGCATTTATGGTGATGTCGGCAGGTACGAAATTTGTTAAACAATCAGAATCGGCCCTGAAAAACCTTGTTAGGCCTTTAGCGATAGACACCGTCACTCCTATTGGTCCATAATAATTATCTATCCATCCCACGAGCGGTTCGCGGACGGTATTCATCACTTAAGGCGAGAAAAATACAAACTTTTAATGTTGTACAAATTTTTAAATAGAATGAAAAAATAAAATATTTGTATAAGAATACAAATTTTCAATGTCTTAATATTAACGTTGAGAAAATATAAATATACTTCCAACCTTGTTCGAAAACCGAATTAAGGCTATCTAACTTTAACAATCTTCCTGAAATAATTGATTACTTACCGATAGATGGTCGAAAAATTCCCACTGGCAAACTTCCGCTGCTGTCTCTAATAATTACCTCCATGATTGCTTTTGTAAACGTATAAGTGTTGGGCCACTGTGCGGCGGCTCTGTCGAAAATTATTAGTTGTACTCTTATTTTCTACATACATTGTATATATTTGTTCAATTTACTTATTGCATTACAAAATAATAAAAATATACACCTTAATATCTTCTCGTCGATCGTGCCTTTGGACGATGTCCGCATTAGAATAAGAAATTCTTCAGACTCAATTGGATATTTGTAGAAACATTCTTCTATGTGTGTTACCGTGGGCAAGCAATTAGTAGTTATAGTCGATACGTGAATGAATGACTACGAAGGAAAACTTGGTAAATAAAATGTAAAACTTTAGAGACGAATAATTACCTTTAAGTTTGGCATACGTTTGGCCAAGTTTAAAATAGCGCAGGTGCCGTACACGTTTATTTTTGTAGCGACTTTTATGTCTTCATTGAAGCGTACAGTCGCTGCTAAGTGGAAAATTATCGATACCTGCGATAAAATATATTTTTATCAATTGAAATTTTGCTCACTTGTTTGCATTACTATGAATTCTTTTTCAACTATACGATAAAAGCAACTTTGAGAGAAGTGGTCAGTGGAATCTAAATGGCTCACCTCACTTATCACTTGGTCTATATCATGCTTCGTAAGTCCTAGGCACTCTTCGTCCAATTCACCAACTTGCAAGAGGGGCACGACCTTCTCATGAAAATTCGGCACCTCCTCCTTTATTCGCTGGAACAGCTATGGATGATTGTTATAACGTCTATAAGAACTTACCGCGACAATTTCACAAGATCTAGACGTCATTACTTATTACTTATGCCATTCTTAGGAATTGCTCAAACTTTCGAGGCGATTTTTAAAAGCAGCGTCTACTCATCCTTCCTTGCCGTTCTAGCTTACACGCTGAGTCATGAAACTGACGTTCGTGAAGCTCATAGCCTCATGAGTGTAAATAATTAAATCTTATAAAAAACGCGTTAATGATAGCATTTTATGATTAAGATAAAATCTATTACTATATCATAATTACAATTTCTCAGATATGATACGTCATACACATCAGTTATATAATAGCTAAATTTTACGCATAAGAAACTATTTTTAGTTAGATTCTTTCAGCCTCTAAAAAGCTCTTTAAAGAGGGACTCTATGAATAGATTCTAATGCCTCAAACTGTATACTGTAAGTGTGAATTGTGTGATTCGTCAGGCAAGCAAGAGTGACAAAAAGAGATGATCAGACATAGGCTTCAAAAATCGCTTCGAAAACTTAAGTAATTCCTGACACTCATTATGCTTACGGAACTCTCGAAGATTTCGGCCAGTCTACTCGTGGCGCTCTTGTTTTTCTTTGATCTTATCATCATGTATATCTTGGAGATATTGGGACAACTTCGCAGCAATTTCTCAATCAAGACCTTTCCGAGGAATCCAGTTCCGCCTAATTAATCATATTCCACCATTATTGTTTGACCTATGACGTCAACTGATAGAACTAATTTTCGCTTTTTGATGTTATATTCGTCGTGAATTTGTTTTCAACTTTTCGTAAACATTGCAATGTATTTCGTCAAGGAAAGGAACGAACTGAAACCGCGAATTTCGTCAATGTCATCCAAGTGTTGACACCGTTAAGCTTCAAGTTTTTCCCCTTTTTGAAGAAGAGTACTGAAATGTTCGCGGAATGTCGGGAACAAATTCTCGAAAAATGCGACAGTAATCCGGGATCTAAATCGAGTACTAGTCCAAAACCTCGGTATCGGTATGAGTGTCAATTTTTATTTAATGTTTCTTTGTTGATCACATCGCACATATACAATAATAATTTATACAATAAATACCTGTAATGAAGATCGACTGGTTCGCATAGAATGTTTGTATCGGCGTTCCTTGAATTTTGGTATTGTTTCCGCAATACACAATTTTGTGTTGATTAAAATCGTTAGTATGTAACAAATGATCGCTCATCCTGTCAGTATCTGTGTTCAATACCTGCATGAAGTAATACTGTCCTTATTTTTAATTTTAGCTACGATCTGCGAGTAGATATATGTAACGTAACACTAATTTCACTAAGACAGTACGACACTTATATACTATAAAAGTTAAACCAAAAAAATAAGCAAAAAACAAAATCGTATATTATGTCAACATTTTTAGTAGAAAATTTTAGAAAGATTTTTGGTGAATTGTTCTGCTGCTGTTTTTAATGTAGACTGACAAGTCACGTCTCTAAAACGGAGATTTCCCATTTAACCTTCTAAGTCCATTATTGGTAATGGGTAGTAGAGACTCGGAAAATTTTTCTTTTCCCCTACTCTCCAGTTTCCCCGAACTTTCCGGATTGTGAATATCTAACATGCCCAACATACCAGCACCGTAGTTATGTACCAGTAATATAACATAGATATGTAATGTCAGCACAACCATGTGGTTTGTTATGTAACTGTTATGTGTTACATAACATATACATAACGTGTAACAGTTATATGAAATAATATATGGTTGAGCTGACATTCAAACATCAATGTTATGTTACTGATACTTGTGGTTTGCTTGTGAGTGCTAGTTATGCTGTTATACATAACACGGATGTACGTAACTCAGTGCTCCAGATGAGAGTTAACAGTTTATAAGCTATTTATAGAAGTAATGGGAAGATGTACTTGTGATCAGTTCTTACAAAGAATTATATCAACTGACCATATCAGTTGACCATATTAGGTCAACTGATAGATCTGATTTTCAATTTTGATGTTATATCCGTCGTGAATTTGTTTTCAAATTTTCGTAAACATTTCAATGCATATCGTTAAGGAAAGGAACGAACTAAAACTGTTGGATCATCCAAGTGTTGACACCATTAAGTTTTTCTCATTTTTTGAAGAAAAGTATTAAAATGTTCGCGCAAAGTCGGAAACAAATCTTCGAAACATGCGACAGTAATCCGGGATCTAAATCGAGTACTTCCCCAAAACCTCAATATCGATATGTGTCAATTGTTATTTAATATTTCTTTGTTGATTGCATTGCATATATACAATAATAATTTGTATAATAAATACCTGTAATGAAGATCGTCTGGTTCGCGTAGAACTTTTGTATTGGTGTTTCTTGAATATTGCTCTTGTTCCTACAATGTACTATTTTGGATTGGTTGGAATCGTTAGTATGTAACAAATGGTCGCTCATCCTGTTAGTATCTGTGTTCGGTACTTGCATGAAGTAATACTGATTTACCTCTTTACTTTTAATTTCAGCTACGATCTGCGAGTGGGTGTATGCAAGAGAGACACTAATTTCACTAATTTCACTAAGACAGCACGTCTCTTATATATTGTAAGAGTTAAACCTTTCGTTTCGTTTTCGCATATGAGACGACGATACTTGCGAGAAAACGCTGAGTTTCAGCGATTGGCAAAAGGGAGGGGTGAGAGAAAGGTGCAAGGTCATGGAGCGACCTGATGGAACGCATTCCGTTCCTTTCAACGAACACTTTACTAACAGTTTATAAAGTTAACAATGTAGATTCTCGATACAACGACGTAGTTCGCGGTATAACGAAGGAGTTCGTCGGAGAGTCGAAGATCCGTAGATCCGACGGATCCCACAGAAATCGTGAGCCTCGCACGACATTTTGCGACGCGAAAATAGTAACGCTGGACGAACAACTTCGACCTTCCGAGATGACAATTGAGTCAAAAGAAGATCGCTCGGAAGAAAGTGAAAGATTAATTTACGCGACGAAGACCAAGTAGATCCAAGAAGAACGAACAGTAATCGGTAAATGACTTTTCGCGAATCACCGCTCGCGGAGATATGTAGACATTTGTGAACAAGGAATTCTATTGCCGCAATCGCGGATTGATCCGTGTGGCCGGAATTATCAGTTAGAATTTAAACATTCGAGAGCGTATGAAGCTAATGAAAAGCTCGTGATTGAGCTGAGCGTGTGTTGTTTTGATCTGTCCGCGTCGAGTCGTCGTAACTGTCAAGCCTTTAAATGTTGTTTATTTATCCGCGAATTCAGCAAGCCCAAGACGGGATCGACAGATTCAGCTGATTTTGACGGTTCGAATCTCGAACAAAATCAAAAAAAAAAGAAACGAAATCGTATATTATGTTTTTACGCAACATTTTTACGCAGTAGGAAAACTTATGATAAATATGTTCTGCTGCATTTTGTAACGTATATTGACAAGTCATGGCTACAGAGATTTTTTTAATAAACATATTTTTTTACATAAACACATTTCTTTACATTATCCCTCAACAAAATTATATAATGCGTGTTTATAGCATCCAATTGATATTATAACTGTGCATGAAATAAATATAGTTTACAAAAGTATTTCTGTAAATAGCTTCCAGACCAACATGAAGACGATAAATATAAAGACGATTTTGGTCACTTGATGTATCCAGTACAATCTAAAATTCATGCTATTATTTAGGACAAACATAACATTATGTAATGAAATGCCTTTCTACATCACACATTTCTATTTTATAACAATCGATTCAACACATTTCAATTTGAATTAATCCTAAAACGCGACCAACCGGTTCAGTAAACTACAAACCACAATTCCGACTAATTTTCTTACATTACTTTCTGGAAACTGCATATTTTCTGACTTTTCTTAGTTTAGCGAACAAATAAGCGTAGCAAAAGTTTCAAGTCCTCTAACAAAATAGCTAAAAGTGATGCAAAGCAAGTAACATTATCACATATAAAGTTTTGAAACCTCAAAGAGACATATTCTTCTCTAAGATTATTTTTTCACATAAGAAAGTTAACTATTGTCTAGGTACTGCTTTTGTTAACTTTTCAGGTGCAAATGGTATACATATACGTGTGTATATAATAATTAATATGTACAAATAGCAAATATATAAAGTGTGCTGTGTCCGCATGGTTTTTGAGGCGCTCCCGACAATTTGGAAAAAAAATTGTAAAGTGAACATTTATTTATTTCCTACAGGCTGCCACATACAAAAAGAAATAGATAAAATATTTATTATAAAGAAATCAATGGCACCTTGAATTCAAATATCAGTTCCTTTCTTTGATATTGTAGAGAATTTTAAGTCGAATTTAATATATTCTTATTCTTATTGACATTTAAAGTTATTTTACTTAATTAAGTTATTATTAAATCGAAAATATATATTACCTCTTCCATTTGATACGACTGTCTTCCAAAGTACTTAAATCATCCTTAAGCAGGTAAAGGCGCATACCTTTAAAATGATCATCTAAATATTTCGGCCAATCGAAACCTTTCATGTTAAAGTCGAATAAAAATTTTTCATTTTCGTCCATTCTTCGCCACATCGCTTGAATATTATCCTCACTGTGTGTCCAATTGTGCATCACAAAGTAACTAATTCCGTCCTGATATTTGTGAATCATATTGTACAATTTCCATAATCTGAAAGAGATAAAATAACATCAACGTGAACTTCGGTACATACGACGCAATCTTCGAATACCTTTGCTGAGCACTTGTGAATTTTTGAAAGATATCGATGAATAAAGCGGGCAACAAGTGGCCGAACCAAATGCATATTTTATATATAATCTTATTTCTGACTGAAGTAAAAACTGGTAGCCAATAACAGTCTTTCGTCGGATATTTTGTAGCGTTTAATCGCATGTGAGTAATGTAATCACCCAAAAACAAAGGCGCATCTTTCGTCGATACACTATTATAAATTAACATTTTATCGCCTCTCCTACAATTAGAAAGTGTCAGGTTAACACGTAAAAACTATTCGCTGTAAGAATAAAAATCCAGACAATGACTCCACGATGTTGGAAAAAAAAACATTTTATCACGACCTGTAAATTTTAAGTGATAAAGAACATTTTAAACATGTTTCTTTAGAGCTCTAATGATAAAACCAAACTTATATGATAATAATAAGGCTATTAAGAGCTAAATGCTGGTGTTCGTATAAATGTAATGTAATGGGGGAAGATAATAATGTTTGCAGATAATAATGTTACAAACATTATTATCCTCCCTTATTACATTACATTTGCACGAACATTAGCCCTTATTTCTTAATGGTCTTATCACTATCATAAAAGAAAATTTCTTTGGGCATTTTTTTGGAGTCAGATTCTTATCAGCATGAACTTCACACTTTATTTGACATATTTGTAAAAATGCCTATCGTACAGAATCATACTTGTGGGGTTGATTAAAAACATCCCACGCGGCGGCAATTAGAGCATTTACGGTGATGTCGGCAGGTATAAAATTCGCCAAACAATCAGAATTGCCCCTGAAAAACCTTATTAGGCCTTTAGAGAAAAACGTCAACACTCCTATCGGTCCATTATAATTATCTATCCATCCCACGAGCGGTTCGCGAGCGGTATTTATCACTAAAGAAGAAAAAATACAAACTTTTCATGTTGTACAAATTTATAATGAAATAAATAAATAAAATATTTGTATATATAAAAATACAAATTGCGCATTGTCGATGTCTTATACTGACGTTGGGAAACTATAAATATAGTTTTAAACTTGATTGAAAGGCGGATTAAGACTATCAACTGCTAACAATCTTCCTGAAATAATTGGTTACTCACCGATGGATGGCCGAAAAATTCCCACTGGCAAACTTCCGCTGTTATCTCTAATAAATACCTCCGTGATTGCTTTTGTAAATGTATAAGTGTTGGGCCACTGTGCGGCGACTCTGTCAAAAATCATTAGTTGTACTTTCATTTTCTATATATATTTTATATACTTGTTCAATTTAGTTATTGCATTATAAAATGATAAGAATATATACTTTAATATCTTCTCGTCGATCGTGCCTTCGGACGATGTTCGCATTAGAGTAAGAAATTCTTTAGATTCTATGGGATATTTGTAGAAACATTCCTCTATGTGTGTCACCGTGAGCAAGCAGTTAGTAGTTATAGTCGATACGTGAATGAATGACTACAAAAACTTTTTAATTAGAAGGAAAACTCGTTAATTAAAAAGTAAAATTTTAGAGACGAACAATTACCTTTAAGTTCGGCATACGTTTGGCCAATTTAAAAATAGCGCAGGTGCCAAACACGTTTATTTTTGCAGCGACTTTTATGTCCTCATTGAAGCGTACAGTC